GGGCGCGCGCATTCATCTCTGCAGCGCCTCTGTGCGAGGTAGTATGCGGACGACGGGAACTGCTCTTCGAAGTGGCGCTGGTAGAGCCCGAGGTCGTAGAGCATGCGCAGCAGCTCCGCCAGCAGCGACCGCTCCACGTGTCGCACACCTGCATGACTCGCGCCCGCACCAGCCCTGGCGGGGTGCCGTCGAGGCTCGCGAGCAAGCCGGCCAGCGCGCAGTTTGCACTGCCCGTCCCCGCGTCCTCGCTGCCGTCGGCGCGGTGCATGCGGGCGCGCAGCTCCAGCCTCGCCGCCTCGCCGCCTACATGACGGCTCAGGGACGGCTCGGCGAGTGACCTCTACCTACACACCCTCCAGCCTCGCCGCCCCGCCGCCCGAGCCGTCGAGCCGAACGTAGGCGAGCACCTTAAACATAACATAAGATATAAACATACAAATATAATATATAAGTCGAGCCGCACGTAGGCCTGCACCTTGGGAGGCAGCAGAGTCGCCGCCCCTCCCGCTGCCAGAGCCTCGAAGGCGGAGGGCACGCCGCGCGACCTGGGGGAAGGCGCCGGCAGGCTTCGCGGGGGGCTCCCGGCCGCGGTGGGAGGGCACGCCGCGCGAGAGGTCCGCACACCGCCTCGAGGCAGATCTCGGCTCATCTCGGGTAGAATCTCGGGTGACCCCCCCAGAGCCGCGAGGCTGGACAGCTCGACGAGGAGGAAGGGCAGCCCGGTGGACGCCGCCAGCGGCGGGTGGCGCGCGGCGCAGACGTCACTCGCCTGCTCGAGGCAAACCAGCGAAGCCGTGATGAAGACATCAATGATATTCGTACAAGAGATCTCTCGCTCGCCGCGAGGCGAAGCCGTGATCAAGACATTGATACTTTTATGTTTAGTGCCAGAAATCTCTCGCTCGCCTCGAGGCCGATCAGCGCAGCCGCCGCCTCTGCGGGGAGGGGAGGCGAGGAGAGCGAGAAGGGCTCCGGGGCGGTGAGCGTGGCGCCAACCGGCCGCCCCGCCTCGTCTTCGATCAGCTCGAGCGGGACCAGCCCAGCCTTGCGGTGAGGTGCGGGAGAGTGGGAGGGTGGGAGGGGAGAGACGGTGCGCGGCTCAGCTCACCTTCTCCTCGAGCAGGACCGTCCCTCGGACTTCCTTCCCGAAGATGCTCCGGCGCCACGCGAGCACCGTCGCCGTGCCGACGTTCGGGTGGCCGGCGAAGGGCATCTCGTCGCCTGCGGGCGGATGGGACGGGACCATGGGTGTTGTTGTCGGCCGGTCGGCTGAAGCAAGCGGCGGTCGGTCGCGCCGTCCTTTGAGAAGATGCGCACCCACGCGGTGTTGGCCTCGGACTTTGGAGGCAGCACGATTGTCGTCTCGGAGAAGCCAAACTCGATGGCGATCCGCCGCATGACGTCGTCCGACAGACGCCGCTGCTCGTCGAGCACCACCGCGAGCTGGTTCCCGCCAAACTTGTGCGATGAAAAGACATCGACGGTCTCGAACCTCACCGAGGAGGAGGCGGCGGAGACGAAGGCGCGGCGCCAAACGTCCATGACTCAGTCCTTTTTCGTCGCCAGCTTGAGTTGGAGCTGGTACAGCTTGCGGAGGACGACGGTGGTGAGGAGAGTTAGGATGAAGATCGAAGTGAGCGGAGACGCCCTCAGCTGCTCGATCTCCGCCTCGAGCATCCACGGGCGGCGCGATTGGCTCTCGCAAGGTGTCGCACGCACTCGAGGTCTCTTGGAGCTGGGTTCCTCGAGCGAGGGTCCCCGGCGAGAGAGAGAGAGAGAGAGAGAGAGAGAGAGAGACGCGGCTCGCCTCTGCCGCGGCGGCTGCTGCGCGCACGCGGCGGCGCCGCTCTCTCGCGAGACGGCTGGCGACGCGGCTCTCCGCCGACGTACGGTGCGCTCGTGCGACGGTCCGCGGCGTGGCGTGCGCGGCGCTGAGCGCCGCTCTGCGAGCGCCTCTGCGCCTGCACTGCCTGTCTCTGTTGCTGGTGGTGGTGGTGGTGCTGCTGCTGGTGGTGCCGATGCTGCTGCTGGCGCGGCGCGGCTGTGCGACTGGGCTCGACGCGCGCGTCGCGAGCGTCTGACGCGGCGGGCGGCGTCGGGCAGGTGCGCTTCTCTCTCGGGTGGTGGTGGTGGTGCTGCTGCTGCTGGTGGTGGTGCAGGTGCTGCTGCTGGTGCGGCGCGGCTCTCCGACGCGACTCGATGCGCGCGTCGCGGCTATCTGACGCGGCGGGCGGCGTCGCGGGCGGCAGCGGTGGCGGCTCGCGGGTGGAGGTGGAGGCTGGTGGCTGTGGTGGACTTTGAGTTTATTTCATGGTCGAGTACGGGGACCGGGGGGTCAACCGGGAGGCAGGGGGTTCGACCAGGCGACGGAGGACCGTGGGCCATCGCGGGGACTGCTGCGTACGGAGGACGCGGCAGATAGATCCGGATGGTCTTCACGCCGGTGGGAGGCACCGAGGCGTCTAGGGCGCTCCACTCTACCTTAAGCTCCTGAGGGGCGCGTGGTTGTAACCACGTAGTAGGACTACGGCCCACCACAGACACCCTCCCCCACTCCTCACGTGTGTTCACACCCTCACCCTCTCCTCTCTCCTCTCTCTCTCTCTCTCTCTCTCCTCTCTCTCCTCTTGTCTGTGCTGTCTGCCTGACTCAGGCACTCAATCTGCCGATGCGTGATTGTGTGTGGGCTGCTCCGAGGGGGCCCTCTGTGCGATCCGACGGGTAGGGGGGCTGTGCCCGGGCGGTGTCCGGTGTGGAGTCCCCTTCTGATCCCGCCTGGGATGTTGGGTGTGAGGTTGTGGCGGCTTCGATCCCAAGGGGGGGAGCTGATCCCACTCAATAACCAACTCTCAGGGGCAGTAGGTGGGCGAGCTTCAGGCACGCTCATCTCGATCGTCAAGACGTTGCTACGCGCGGTCTTCCGCGGGGGGAGCTGCGTCGACGGGTGCGGGACCGCGGCGCAGCCAGTGCCGCGGCGAGGCCTCCGGCTGTTTGCGGCGGGCGGGTTGCTGCTCGCTGCGATGGCGAAAAACTCGTCTCGCCACACGCCAAGGGCTTATGCTCTGGCGAGACGTGAGGCGCATGCGCCCAGGAGGGGAGGGGGCATGTGTAACGACACTGCTAGAGATGCCTTTCGGGGCCCAGAGATAAAACTTCTGTGATGCCATGCGTGACCTAGTAGTGTCCCCAGCTATGGGCGTGTCCACGTTGGAGCCAGGTGTGGTGTGGGCGCGAGAATAGCTCCGCCGTTCATGGAGGCAACCGATGCGAGTCGACTGGTGTGTGTCGTCGTGGTTTCGTATCAAGAATTCTCTCTCTCTCTCGGTCCCCGGCGTGGGCAGCGAGGGAGGGTGTACAGGATGTAGAGTGTAGAGCGCTGTAGAGCTGTAGAGATGTAGAGCGCTCTGGAGCGCTGTAGAGCAATGTAGAGCTCTACATCCGCCGCGTGACGAGGCGGGTGCGTTGTAGAGCGATGGTTGGTAGAGCGCGAGTCACTCTGACGGCACACAACACCCTATAACTGCGTCATGACCAGCCTGCCATGCGTCGCCGGTGCCGCATTCATCGCAGTGCTTCTTTAGCAGGGGGTGGACTGTCGGCTGCGAGGACGGTCGCATTTGAGAGAGAGATTTTAGAAAACCAACAAGAAATCACGACTCTCGCATTTGCGCGAGGCGAGGCGAGCATTCAGACGCGTTGCATGCGCCATGACTCGCGCCAGCGCGCAGAGGCACCTGCCACCCATTGGGCGGGCAGACAGAAGGCCAGGGCAGCACTGGCAAGTTCAACGCGCCTCATATGTCGGAGAGCGACCGTGACGCATGACTCGCGCGCGCCGAGCCATGCATGGGAGCCCAAGTATGTGAGCGCGCGGCGCGTCGACACGCCTCCGCTTTTGTAACAAAGTCTGCTTTGCTTGTGCAGGTGATGCCCAGAGCTGCAGCGGCGACGCCGGCAGCCTCGTCTCGACCTCAGAGGCTGGTGTCCTTCGGCCTGCACTGTGCAGCCACTATGCTGCTGGTCATCAAGATGTCATCATTCGTCTTGGCTGCAGACTGCGGAGTAATGCTGATGATGACATCATACTACTGCAGAGTAATGCTGCGCACTATTATTCCTGGTTACAGTGCAGAGTACTACGAAAGCGCCTACCGGAGCACAACCACGTGAAAGAGGGTCAAAAATGCTGTGAAGATGTCTTTGGGGTAGGTGGTATATGGGGTACATGGGGTGTATGGGGACGTATGGGGATATATGGGGTACTGCTGACATGGACATGGGGTGTGCTGCTGAGAGCATCTTTGAGGGGGAATGGCGAGGAAGGGGGCTCAGGAGGGCCGCGCCTACTCGCAGCGTTGACAGCTCGACAAGATGCCGCAGCGGCCCTCCCCTCGACGGCGGGCGTCAGCAACATAAAATGGGATGGGCATGGTGCGGGCTAGCGCGGGGCAAGGGTGGCGAATGGACAGCAGCGGACGCGTCTCGTGGCTCCTCAATGGCAGCGGCGGCACCTGCGAGCGGGAGGGAGCAGGCGGTGCGAGGCCAAGGGGTACAGCCGCTCCGGCGGCGCATCGCACGGCGGGAGTGGTGCGGGCGGGGCGGGCTCGGTGAGCAATAGGCGTCGCGGGGATCAAGGCGTGCAGCTTGCGGCGAACGTAGGCGGCGGGGCCAGCGTGAGAGGCGGGGAAAGCGCACGGCTTGCCTAGCGTAGCACAGCTGGAAAGCCGTCGGGCGGAGGGGAGGGGGTGCAGTGCTTCATGTTCAAAAAGAGCGCGTTCTTTTTTCTTTTTAATATGTTTTTGAAGACGAGGAGCGGCCGCTGGCTTTTATAAAATGAACTCGGGGGCACGGGACGCGGCACAAACGGGGCACACACCCCGTGAACACGTAGCCTCCCGTGTCTGCTGCGTACCACTCAATGGGCGTCTTGCTCGCCAGCCCGTCCCACGCCGGCCAGCCGCCCCGCCTCGTCGCGGGAGGCCTCACACACACCCCTCCGCCGGCGCTGCCTCTGCCACTGCCTACGGCTTTACCTCCCCCTTGTCATCGCCCACCTCGCCGCCAGCAGCACGCCCAGGACGGCATTCTCGACCTTGAGCTCGCGTGCCAGCGCCTGCAGCGAGCCCAGCGCCCCCTCGGCCTGCGCGCCCGCCGCCATCGCAGCGAATGGGAGGAGCGAGGTGACGCGCTCCGTCTCTGCGCTCAGCGTGCCTCCCTCGCCGCGGCGGTGGCGGTAGTCGATGTGCGCTCCGCCGAGCAGCGCCATCGCGGCAGGGCCGAGCAGCCACACTGCCTGCGGCGCCGAGGGGACGGCCAGCGCGCCGCCTGCGGGGGAGGGGGGAAGGGAAGGAGGGGCGCGGTGGGTGCCCTGCTCCGGCCGGCGACGAGAGGAGAGGAGCGAGCCGCACCGAGCCCAACAGCGGCGAGCGACCAGAGCATCGGGTGCCGCGAGACGCGGTGCAGCCCGTGCAGCCCGTCCGGGCTCGTCACCGCTGGCGAGGCCGACTCGCCCTTGAAGTCCATCGGGCAGCGGATCACCCACTGCCGGGCGGCAGCGCCGGCTTTGCTCGCCGCCGCCGGCTCCGCGCGCTCGCCGTGGGCCGGCTCGCTCGCCAGGGGAAGCTGCACGCGGGGGAGCGCCTGGAAGAGGCCTGCGAGACCGACCGCCTGGAGGACGAAGCTGCCGCCGACCGCCGCCACGGAGACGTGCCGCAGCGGAGGCGCACCAGCGACGCGGAAGAAGTAGCCGAATCCGAGCGAGGCGCAGGCCGCGGTGGAGAGGGCGTTGTAGAGGGCGTGGTAGGACTGCTCATCGCCGCCGCACAGCGCGATGATGGAGGCGCGGTTGTGCGAGAGGAGCACATTCTCGCCGATGAAGAAGCTCCACGGCAGCACGGCCCAGCGCAGCGCCGAGGGCGGAGCCGCCTCTGCGGCGAGCGCGGAGGACGAGGACATGCCGGCGGAGCGGCGCAAGGGGTGGAGCAGCCGACGGCCGAGGAGCGTCATCTCGGCCAGACGCGCGAAGAGCCTCTCGAGGGAAATGGATCTCCTTCGGCCGCGTTGGAGGCGCGAAGCCGCGGCCACCGGAAATTTCCCTGCTTATTGGCTGAACTCTACATTCGCTTTTTCCCCCTTCCAAGTTCCCTTCGGGGGGAAAGTTTGCAACTACATTCAACCTTTCTACGTTTCGTTCTACATGGGAAAAAAGCGGCGCTCGAGTTACACTCGTTCGCAAGGGAAACGGGAGGACCGAGGGCGCACCGGCTTTTCCCCCCTCCGCATGCCGTGATTTTCGCAGCGGCCCAGGATGACAGAACTGGCCGTTGCCAGCATGGGGACTATTGTGCGCCTCGGCGAGGCGCTTCCGGTGGTATTTTTTGCGAGCGCAGTGGACTTCATCTTGCCGGTCAACTGCCGGCGGTCGACATGCCGGCGGTACCCGACGCTGCTCGTGCATGTGTGTGTGTGTGTGTGTGTGTGTGTGTGTGTGTGTGTGTGTGTGTGTGTGTGTGTGTGTGTGTGTGTGTGTGTGTGTGTGCGTGTGCGTGTGCGTGTGCGTGTGCGCCGCGAGCGCCGTAGCGCCGGCGAGCGCCGTCGGCAGCGCGCGACCGCCACCCAAAAGCGGAGGTACATCGGGAGCCGCAGCCGGCCTGCTCTATCAGCCCCGCGGCCGCTTTCTTGTTTTGTATCCGGTTTCTGCACTTGGAGCACTTGGAGTGCAGTCATCAACCGCACATCCAGGGCCGGGGAGCTCATTCTGCGTTCCCGTTTTTTTTTTCGTGCGACCCCTACGCTGCGGCCGCGCCGGCACTTCACATGCCAAACCCCTCGCCGGCTCTCGACCTTTCGTCCGGCCTCGCCACGATTGTTGTGCTTATTGCCAGTTGGCTGCTGCTTCGCTGGAAGCGCGGCCGGCGCGCTCCTCCTCCGCCTCGAGAAGAGCCGTCGGCGCCCGTCCGAGCCGTCGGCGCGAAAGCGGCGGGTCGCGGGCCGATGACGATCCTGTTCGGCTCGCAGACGGGCACGGCTGAGGGCTTCGCGACCACGCTGATGCGCGAGGCGCGTGTGCGGGGGTACGCCGCACGGGCGCTCGACCTCGAGGAGCTCCCGCCAGAGGAGCTGGGCGGCGTGGAGGGGCCCTGCGTCTTCTTGCTGGCGACACACGGCGAGGGAGACCCGACCGACAACACGGTCGCCTTCCACCGCTGGGCCAGCGACGCGTCGCGCGAGCCCGGCTGCCTCGCGGCGCTGCAGTATGCAGCGTTTGGGCTCGGCGACCAGTGGCGAGAGGAGTGAGGCGATGGCGGGCGGGTCAGCTCACACCGGCACGTGGAGAGGTAGGCAACACGCAGTACGAGCACTACAACTCGATGGGCAAGTGGGTGGACGCGCGCCTCTCCGCCCTCGGAGCGAGACGGCACACCGCTCCGCCTGTGTCTCGCCGACTGCGCGACTAGGCCCTCTCCCGGACCCTTCCTGGACCCTTCCTGCAGGCTGGCGCCGCTCGGGCTGGGAGACGACGACGGCGACATCGACGCCGACTTTGAGTCGTGGCGCGCCTCCCTGTGGGTGGCCCTCTGCGGCGGGTCCGACCAGGCAGACGGCCAGGAGGAGGCGGAGGAGGAGGCGCCCGCGCCGAGCTACGTCGCCGTCGTGGCGGCGGCGGCGCCGTCGGCGGCGGCGCCGTCGGCGGCGGCGGCGGCGGGCGGCGTTTCCGAGCCTGGCTCCGACGCGCCTCCCCTCGCCTGGCTCGGAGCCGTCTTTCCGAAGCAGCGCCTGGCGGCGGGCCAGGCCTGACTTTTGACGCTCTCACCATGACATCAGGTCCGTGAATGTCGATGACATGACATGACATGTCCGTGGCACGTCCCGCAGGTCTGCGAGAACCGCGAGCTCTGCCGGGACGCGTCCAGCGGATCGGTCCGCCACATCTCGCTCTCCGCGGGCGACGGGCGCGGAGTCACCCGGCTGAGGTGCGGGCATGTCCCGGACGTGTCGTGGACATGTCCCTGCAGGCGACGGGCGCGGAGTCACCTGGCTGAGGTACGAGTGCGCCGACGACCTCGCTGTCCTCTGCGACAACGGCGCCGCTCTCGCCGCCTCCACCCGAGACCCGGACCCGGACCCAGATCCCAACCCTGACCCTATCCCTATCCCTATCCCTGACCCTGACCCTGACCCTGACCCTGACCCTGACCCTATCCCTGACCCTGACCCTGACCCTGACCCTGACCCTGACCCTGACCCTGACCCTGACCCTGACCCTGACCCTGACCCTGACCCTGACCCTGGCCCTGACCCCTTACCCCAGGCGCCGCCCTCGCCGCCGCCACCGCCGCGCGGCTCGGCCTCGACCCGCTCTCCACCTTCCGCCTCCGCCTCGCCCACCCCTCCGCCGGGTCGGACGCGCCGCCGCCGCCGCTGCCGACCCCGTGCACGGTCGGGCAGGCGCTGCTAACCCTAGCCACCCCAGACCCGCAGCCCTAGCCCTAACCCGATCCTCCCGACCCCGTGCGCGGTCGGGCAGGCGCTGCGCTGGGTCGCAGACTTGCGCGCGGCCGCGTCCAAGCCACTGCTCCGCTTCCTGGCGGCGCACGCAGCCGACCCTGCCGAGGCGGCGCGGCTGAGGCGCCTCCTCCTCCCTCGCGGGCGCGGGCAAGGGCGGGCCGGGGCGGGCGAGGGACCTGACTTTGCTGCCGCGTTGTGGATGAAGGCACCTCTCCTCGCGGGCGGGCAAGGAGGAGTACGCCGCGCACGTCGTCGCGGCGGGCCGGGGCGCCGCGGAGCTGCTGCAGGAGATGCCCTCCCTCTCTCCGCCGCTCGGAGGCTTGCTCGAGCTCGCGCCCCGCCTCGTGGACGGTGCGAGGCTGTGAGTCACCGCCCGTCGTCCATTAGGCTTGCTCGAGCTCTTGCCCCGCCTCGCGCCGCGCTACTACACCATCTCCTCCTCGCCGTCGCTCGACCGCACGACGCTGCATTTGACCGTCAAGGTGCCGAGATCACCCGAGATCACCCGAGATCACCGGAGATCGCCCGAGGTCGCCCCGAGATCAGCAGAGGTCACCCGAGATCGCCCGAGATCGCCCGAGGTTCACCCGAGGTCGCCCCGAGGCCAGGTGCTGCGCGAGCCGTTCAGGGACGCTCCGCACCGCACCAAGCTCGGAGTCTGCAGCACGCAGCTCGAGGCGGCGGCCGCCGGCCGGTCCGTCGTCGCGTTTGTGCGCCGCTCCTCGTTCCGCTTGCCTTGCGACGGCGCCACGCCGGTGGTGATGGTCGGTCCCGGCACCGGCATCGCCCCGTTCCGCGCCTTCCTGCAGGAGACTGCGGCACCCCTCCGACCGTAGCAATGAGCGTGGCCACTCGTTGACTCTGTGGATCCGCGCCGCCCTGCAGGAGATGCGCGTGGCTGCGGCAGAGGGGCGCGGCCGGACGGGGCCGACGCGGCTCTACTTTGGCTGCCGGCACGCGCGGGGCGACTACCTGTACGAGGACGAGCTGGCCGCCGCCCTCGAGGGCAAGCTGCTCGGCACGCTGCGCTGCGCCTTTTCGCGCGACGGAGCGCGCAAGGTGTGGGCGCTGCGACAAATTGCAGCGCGAGGACGGGATGCGTCCAGGACTCGTCCGTGAGAACGTGCGGTAGGTGTACGTGCAGGACTTGCTGCGCGAGGACGGGAGGGAGGTGTGGTCGCTGCTGGGCTGCCGCGGCGGCCACCTCTACATCTGCGGCGGCACCGCCATGGGGAGGGAGGTTGTGCTGGCGCTCCAGCGCACCGCCGTCGAGCACGGCAAGCTGAGCGAGGCGGAGGCTGCCGCCTTCGTGTCTCGGATGGAGGGCGAGGGCAGGCTTGTCAAGGAGCTGTGGTCGTGACGCGACGGGAGCGGCGCGGCGGAGGCTCCAGACCCAGGGGGCAGAGAGGGGGAGCGGCGCGGTTGGTTAGATGCGGCGACCTGACAGGAGTCGGAGTGTAGAGTGGCGAGCGGGGTCCGGTCTTTATAGTGGTCCCCGGCCCCCGCACGCGGATCCAACCGATTCCTACGATTTCACACGCCGTCGCGACGCCAAGTCTCATGTGGGGTCAAGTCTCGCTCACACACACACACACACACACACACACACACACACACACACACACACACCGCTCACCCACGCGCACTGGGCCTTGCACTTTGAATGCCGTGGGGCTCCTGTCGTCAGATGTGGAGACGCGAGGGTTGCCCCCCCTTGCCCCACCACCTCGTGTGTGTGGAGAAGTTTACCTTACCTTACCTTACCTCGCTCGGCTCACGGCGCGACGTCTCGGCGACGATAAAGCCGTACCGTGTCTACTACAGACGTCGTCAGACGTCGCTCGCGCGATTTCGAATGTTGTGTTACTGTATAGTTTCAAAATAAGATACGCTGCTGCAGAGGGGCAAAACGCGTGCGCAGCAGGCTGCGCTCCGCCGTCCGCTCCTCCGCCCTAGGCTCGCAGCTTCAAGGCGCGCGACGGACTGTGTGGATTAGCTGAGGTTGATTGGATCGTCGGCCTTCGAACCAGGCCGAGGCCGCTTGGAGCGAGACGAAGCGGCGGCGGCGGAGGTGGTGGCGGCGGCGGAGGTGGCAGCCGGCCTGTCGGGCGGGATCAGCGACAAGAGCTGGAGGTGGCTCCGCTCGCGGTAGAAGATCTTCAGGGTGCCGATACAGTCACCTATCTCCCATTCCTCGGCACAATCGACATGCTTGGACTTCACCGTTTTTTTCTTTTCGGACAGGCTTCAGCTGTTCGGTCGTCCCGACACCACACAGGGATTTTAGGCAAGGAGTGTGGTGCTAGCCGTCTCCCATGTTTGCCCTTGGGCGTCTGCCTCTTCCTCTCGTGTCAGGAAAAAAGAAAAATATTTTAAAACCAGCTGAATTTCGGTCGTCCCGACCAAACTCCACCGCCTAAAAATGCCCGTTCTTTCCGAGCAGTACCGCGCTCCGCAGGCCGGCTACCTCTTCAAGCTCAAGGAGAAGGGCGGCGGTTGGAAGAAGATCTACGCCGTCCTGCGAGGCTGCGAGCTCTGCTACTACGAGAGCCCTTCGGATGCGCAGCGAAAGCTCCTCATGCGCGATGGCGCCAAGACGGTGCTGTCTGCGGCGGAGTCCGACCCGCCTGCCCGTGCCCGGCCTCCTGTGCACGACCCGTGGTACTTTACCATCCAGACAACGACCGCAAGAAAGACCTACTGCGTCCGCACCTCCCGCGACCGAGAGAAGTGGCTGGGCGCCATCTCGACGGCCGCCCTTCGTGGACAAGCCTCGGCACCGCGGGCGGCTCCCGTCGGCGCGGCATCCTCGACGTGGGCCGCCATCGGCGACACGGCGTCTTCGACTCGGAACGTCATCAGTGGCCTGTTTGGCGGCGGCAAGAGCAGCAGAAACTCAAAGGGCCACGGCGCGGCGGAGGAGGCCATCCGGGCGGAGCAAGCAATCGATGCGGCATTCGAGGCGGTGGACGACGAGGCGGTCAGCAGCGCCTTCACCGTGCTCCTTTCGGGGCTATCGCTTCCCGCCGCACGGCTGGGAGAGATGGAGGCGTGGCCGGCGAGCAAGAAGCGAGAGTGTCTGTCAACGGCAGCTAACGCATCGAGCCTCCGCCCTCGCGACCTTGTCGCCCGGCTTCGCAGCGAAGAGGCGAGCTCGCTCGAGGCTGTGCAGGAGTGCCTCGCCAGGCTGGCCGGCTCGGGCGAGTGGTCGGCCGAGTTCGTGGCCTGTGGAGGACTCGACGCCCTCTCCGCGCTCCTTCGCTCCCTTTGCTCGCGCGCAGAGCGGCCTGAGGCGGACTGGGCCACGCTCGACGTGGCCATCCGGTGCGTTGCCGTGCTGGCGGATGCCGAGGTCGGACTCGCCGCGGTTGCCTCCCACCCTGCGGTCTGCTCCTCTTTTGCCGGTGGCGGCGGCTCCTTGCTGCTCTGCGATGCTCCGGGTCGCGAGCCGCTGCTGCGGGCTGCGAGCGAGGTGCTCTGCGCGGTGGCGCTCTACTCGGAGGCGGGAGCGAGGAGCGTCCTTTCCGCGCTCGAGCAGCTCGCCCTTCTGCACGGCTGTTCCGACACCGACGCAGCGGGCGCGCGCTTCCAGCCGATTGTCGAGGCATTGGCGCCGCCCCGGCGGCTCGCGCAACGTTGGCTGCTGCAGCTGCTCAACGCCCTCGTGTCGGGCCGCGCGTCCATCAGCGACCGCGTTGAGCTGCGCGGCGAGCTCGCGGCCGCGGGCTTCCTCGAGGCGTCGCGCCGGCTCCTCTCTGGCCGCGGCGACGAGCTCGACACGCAAGTCCGAATCTTCGACCGAGAGATGGCTGAGGACTCCACCGAGCTACAGACAGCGGGCGACCAAGGCTGCAGCCGCGACGCACCGGCTCCGGCGCGGCCGCCACCGCCGCCGCGAGGGAAGCCGCCGCCACCGCGAGGGAAGCCGCCGCCACCGCCGGGTGGCCCTCCTCCCAAGCCCTCGCCACAAGCGCGGCCTTCACCGCCATCGCAGCCGCCGCCCGCCGTCGCACAGCCGCCAGCGCCGCCGCCGCCCTCGCGCGGCACGCAGGAAGACGCATCGGCGGACGAGACCGCGGCTGCGCACTCCGAGGCGGTGCGAGCGCTTGAGGCCGAGGTGGAGCGCTGGCGCCGCGAGGCCGCAAAGGCAAAAGAGCAGGCTGCCGCAGCGCAAGGCGCGGCGGAAGCGGCAGAGGCGAAGGAGGCTGCGGCCAGGAGCGAGGCGGCAGAGTCCCTGGAGAAGGCTCGCGCCGTGCAGGCCGCCGCGGAAGCGGCAGCGGCGTCAGAGAAGGTGGTCCGAGGCGCCGCCGCCGCCTCCGGAGAGGCGACCGGCGATGCGAGCGATGCGGGCGAGGCCCTCGGAGAGAGCCTCAAGGAGAGGGACGCGTCGATCGCTCAGCTGAGGGAGGCCCTCGCTCGGGCCGAGGCCGAGCTCGAAGCGCTCAAGAAGACGCCGCCGCCGCCTGCCGCGCCGCCACCGGCCACGCCACCTCCTCTCGCGCCACCGCCCCTCGCTCCTCCGCCGCCGCTCGCACCGCCGCCTCTGGCGCCACCGCCCCTCGCTCCGCCGCCGCTCGCACCGCCGCCTCTGGCGCCACCGCCGCTCGCTCCGCCGCCGCTCGCTCCGCCGCCTCTGGCGCCACCGCCGCTCGCTCCGCCGCCGCTCGCTCCGCCGCCCCTCGCTCCGCCGCCCCTCGGCGGCGCCCCCTTGCCGCCGCCGATCGCCGGTGGCGCCCCTCCTCCTCCTCCTGCCCCTCCGCCGCCGTCGACTCCGGGCGCCCCCCCTCCGCCACCCGTGCCTCCGAGCCTGGCGCGGCCGCTCGTCCCGCCAAAGGCGAAGCGGACCCCCGCCCTCCCCCTGAAGCCTCTCCACTGGTCCAAGATCCCCGACGCGCGGCTGGCCGGCACGGTGTGGCTCGAAGAGATCGACGACTCCAAGGCGGAAAGGGCCGGCGGAGGGGTGGTCGCTCTCGATTCGCCCGTCAGTAGGTCTGGATCTATTCTTAGGCGGACCTCGACCCGGCGGAGGTGGAAGAGGTCTTTGGGATCGCGCCTCCCGCCGCGGCCAAGAAGGAGAGCAAGGGCGCGCCGGCGGCGGCCAAGGGCAAGGCCGAGAAGAACATCGCGCTCATCGACGTCAAGCGCTCCAACAACGTCGCCATCGCCATGGCGAGGCTCCGGCTGCCGGACGGCGAGATCAAGGCGCGCGTGTGCGACGGGCCGCCGCTCTCGCTGGAGCAGGTGTCGGCGCTCCTGTCGGCGATGCCCACCGCGGAGGAGCTCGAGACGGTGCGCGAGTTCTCGGGGGAGCGCGAGTCGCTCGGCCGCGTCGAGCAGCTCTTTCTCTGCCTCGGCGAGGTCGACCGGCTCGGCCTGCGGCTCAACTGCCTGCAGGCGGCCACAGACTCACGCGGGCAGCGGTGTGGAGGGGCGGCGCGCCACGGGCGAACACACTTGGCCCTGCCCGTCAGGCGACGCTCACGCTCGGTCCCGCGGTCGCGGCGATGGGGGAGGAGGTTGCGATGCTCGCCGAGGCCATCGAGCAGGTCTCTCTTGCGTGTGGGGCCGCCCGCTCCCCGCCCACGAGCCTCCTCCGAGCCCTCGCCGAGCCCTCGCTGCAGGTCTTCTCATCGCAGGGCCTCCGCTCCTTCCTGCAGCGAGTGCTCTGCGTCGGAAACTACCTCAACGGCCAGTCGGCGCGCGGCGGCGCCTACGGCTTCAAGCTCGCCGACCTGGCCAAGCTGGTGCAGGTCAAGTCCGCCGACTCGCAGACGACGCTGCTGCACTACCTCTGCCGCCGCCTCGAGAAGGCGCCCGCCGCCGAGTCGGTGGCCGCGCTCGACGAGCAGCTCTCCCAGCTGGAGGGCGCCAAGGACGCCGACCTTGGAGAGATGCGCGCCGAGCTGGCCAAGCTGGGCGCCGCCATGCGCACGGTGCAGTCTGCAAAGGCCGGCGAGGGCGCGTTTGCGCGGCAAATGGGCGCGTTCGCCGCGGAGGCGGGGGGGCTGCGAGCGAGGGCTGCGTGGCGTGCGGGGCGACGCCTCACGCCTCTCGCCGTTTGCATAGGTCGAGGGGCCGCTCGAGGAGCTGCGTGGCAACTTCGCCGCGGCGGAAGGGCGCGTCAAGGCGCTCGCCCGGCTGGCTAGACGAGAAGCTAAGCCTCGCCTGACCCTAATCCCTGGCCCTGACCCTGACCCTAAACCCCCAGGCGCTCGCCGCCTGGCTGGGCGAGAAGCCCGCGTCGAGCCCGGCAGAGCTGCTCGGCCCGATTGCCGGAGTGGTGCGCGCTCTCAAGGCGGCCCACGCAGACAACGCGCGCGACGACGGCGAGAGGGCCCGCAAGCAGCGCATGGCCAAAGGCGCCGGCGCGGCCCCGGCCGCTCGCCCGAGCGGTCCGCCCGCTCCTCCCGCGGGGGGCACGCAGGCGAATGTGATGCTGGAGATGCAGCTGCGGATGGCGAGGCGCGCGGAGGCGGCGGCGCAGCAGGAGGGCGTCGGGGGCAAGGCGGCGCCGGCACCCGCCCCAGCGGCGACGCGCGCCACGCGGCCGTCCTTTAGCGCCCAGCTCGCGAGCGACGCGGCCTCGGGCGCCCTGTTCCAGCGCCGGCGGGTCCTGCATACCAGCGCGTTGTAGCGGGTCGTAGTCGACTCGCGGCAGCTAGCGGAGGGTACGTGAACACGCTCTCGGGCACAGCTTGTCAGGCCGCGTATGTATACTCGGTACTTACGGCTCTACAGGGGGCAGGGGGATGAAGGCGCGTGGGTCCTGGCTCCTCGCCGTGTACGCGTTTTGTCTGGTGTCTTTTGAAGTCCTGGGATCGGTTCGGAGAGAGTGACGGGTTTGAGCTCTCACAAACCAAAAGTTCTCAGCAATTAAACTTGTCAAATACGTACACAGACTCTGCGAGCTCACTCACACGGCCCACGGCCTGGCTCACTGCCACAATACACCTATTGCACCGCCACGCGTTTTGCAAGCAGTCGCTCACGTTGGCGGAGGGCCGGAAACGCAGACCAGGTTGATGCAATGCCGATTGCCTTTGCGATCCGGCAGGTTGTGGCCAAGGTGCGTCCCGTTCCCGCTCACCACCTCCCCACCAGATTTGACCACTACGTTCTCCCAGATGACCTCCTGGTCGCGGAACGAAGGCCAGCCGTGCGCCTTCGACTCGTCGAAAAACTCGTCAAAGGTGCGGCCGATCGGAGCGCGATATAGAGGCAGATGCGAGGCCACGTCGTAAAAGGTGATGGTCTCGCCGGCCGCGAGGCGCTTCGGGAAGCTGCTCACCGTCCAGCTCCCGGACCACTCGGCATAATCGTGGTTTCTGCAGCAGATTCGATCCGCGGTTGCGGCGCGGTCATTCTCAGTGCTGGGCTCTGCCCACCGGAGGGGGCTGGAGACTTTGCTGGGCGTGGCGCTGCAGAAGCTGCTGCTGAGGCCAAAGAACATTGAATGCGGCCGCCGGGAGGAGGAGGATGTTACGCTGGCGACGAGGAGCAGGAGGAGGAGAGCGGCGCCGCTCCCGAATGCCAGCCGCCGGAGCCGCGGCCCTGTGCTGGTTGCCTGCATGACGCACGTTCGAGCTGTCGAGGTTCAGCGGAGTCGGCGGGGCTGATGACAGACAGAACATGATCGCCGATGTTGGCAAGAAATTGAAGAAGTCTGTCCCTTTCACAGCAAATGCGCCGAAAGGCGCAAGAAGCCGCGAGAGCAAGGGACCGGCAGGAGGCGGCGGCGCCGCAGAACGAAGCAGAGGAGAGCGACGCGACAGAAGAAGAAGAGACAAGGGAAAGAACGACGAGAAGGGGGCGACCGCGAGGTGGCATGAAGGTTGCAGCGAGAACCGGCGAGAGACTGCGAAGAGAGATAGGAAGAGGCGGACGCCCAAGGGTGGGCGACGGCTAGCGCATCACACCCCTCTCCTTAAAATCCCTGTGTGGTGGCGGCGTGCCGTCCTCCCATCCCTCCCTTGGGGTGCCTGTTTTCTTTCTTTTCTTTCTTTTACTGGCCTGCATATGCGCCGAGGTGTTGGTGTGAAGAAGGCGCTTTTTTTTACTCCTGAGAGTGCTATGAGAGTGCTGTGAGAGTGCGTCACAGTGCCGTGAGATGGTCGTCAAGAGGTGTTGACGCCTGTTCGAACCTGAGACACAGCACCGGCTTGCGGAGGAGCGCTTCCGATACGGCCGCCGTCACACGGGCGACCTCGATCTCGAGGAGTTTGGCATGCTGTTGCAGACGCCCGTGTGACGACGGGGCGGGCAACGGTCAGGTGGGAAAAGGTGGAGAGAGGTGTGTCTTGTCACTCGTGCGAGTGCTGGTGAGCTAGTGGAGCTGCGCCCTGCGGGGGGCGTGTGCCGTGTGTGACGTGTGGTGAGCTGTGAACCCCCGTGATGCGGGCATGTCGCATGTGAACAGGCGCTGGACAGATACGAGATGTGCGTTTGTGCTGCTCCGTCCACCGTCGCGGCTCGTCTGCCGCGTGTGTGTGGTGTGACACACCGCGGTGATAACATACGTACGTACTCGCTCTCGGAATTGTCTGACGCAAAATCGCCGTTCGCGTGACGCGCCGCATATGGAAAATACCCTCGCGGCGCGGCTCAAAGGGCACCGGCAGGACACAATCAAGGATCTCACAACGCAATGCCCGCCGCGCCAAAGCTCTCTGCGAACGAGTCCAGCGAGAGGGCGGGCTCGGCGTGCGGCGCGGGCGACAGGCAGAGGATGGCGACGACGACAAGCGCGAGGAATGCGCGGCGGCGCGACTCTGGCGGCGGCGTGATCTCGTCGGCGCACGGCACCTCGCCCTGCTGCAGCAGCTGCGGGAGCAGCACGACGCCGCCCCAGAGAAGGAGAAGCTCCGGCGCGCCTGACGCGTTCATCAATGCCATGAGTCCCTCATTCACCCATCGCCCCAGGGCGCGGGCGACCGAGCGCGCCGTCGTTGAGCGCGACGGCGGACAGCACGACGAGGACCGAGAGCACGCCCATGGCCTGTGTTCACAGCCCGCGGCAGCTGTGAAGAGGCGCTGCTCACAGCACGACGACGGCAGCAGTCAGGCCCCCTCGCCTCGGACGCTCTCCGCCCGAAGCAGGCGGTGGCTGCTCGGCCGCCGTCGAGCCGGCCACACGGGACGAGAGAGAGGGCGTTGCCGAGGAGGGAGAGGAAGCCTGGCCGCGCGAGGGAGGGGCGGTTGGAGGAGTGGTGGTGGTGGTGGTGTGTGGGGGGGGGGGGGGGGTAAGGGCGGGGAAAGGTCCGTGGGGTGTGTTTTTGGGGGGGGGGGGGGATGGAAAGGGTCCTGAAAAGCGGAAAGCCCCTCCCATGGCAAGGGGGTGCACCGGCACCGGCAAAGCGGCGGCTTCCGGCGGCGCCTTCTGGTAAAACCCGACCCTGAGGGACGTGTGTCCTGGCCCCCTGGGGGGGGTGGGGTGGGGGGGGGGTGGCTGTGTTCAGGGGGGGCGTGGGCGAGCGAGGTGTGTCGGCTGCCCGTCGACCAGCAGCGAGGGGAGGAGCGACGAGTGCAGCATCGCTGGCGAGAGGCGAGGGAAGGAGTCGAGGAGCGGCGCGGGCGCGGCGGCGGTGAGGGCGAGGCCGGCGAGGAAGGCGGCGGCGGAGAGGGCGGTGCCGACGAGCGGTCCGGAGAGCGCGAAGTCGGCGAGGGCGGTGCGGCTGGGCGGGTAGGCGCCGAGCAGCGCGTGCGTGCCGAAGGTTCCGAGCTCGACAGAGGGGAGGAGGAGGGGAGGCTTGACGGGGAGGCCGTGCCGCCTCGCCGCCACCACGTGCGCCGCGTCGTGCGCGAGAAGCAGCGCGGCGACGGTGGCGTAGATGGGCGCCGCGTACGCCGCTGCGTCGAGAAGCTCGACCATGTTGCCTGCGCTCAACACAGAACAAGAGGGAGTGAGGAAGTGGGCAGTCGTGGTCCGCGCTGGGCGTCTCGCGTCCGTTGCCGGAGCCGGCGGCGGCGGCGGACTCGGCGGCGGCGAGCGGAGGGGCGACTGCGGAGGAGGGTGCCCCGAGGGCGGCGCCGGCGGTGGTGAAGACGGAGAGGGCGGACCAGGCGAAGAGAGGCAGCGGGGCAGCCTACCGGAGAGAGTGCGTCCTCGCGTCAGCCTGCTGCCAGCGCTGGCCGGGGAGGGTTGGGCCGGAGGGTGGTGCGAGGGGGCGGGCTGCCTCTCCGGAGCCCGTGGCTGCTGCGGGGAGGAGGGCGGCGGGGAGGGCGAGGACGACGGGCGGCGGCAGCGAGATGAGGAAGAGCTCCTCCTCGTACGGGTCCTATGGGGAGACACGGGGAGATATGGGGAGATACGGGGGAGATAGGGGGAGATAGCTCCTCCTCGTGCGGGTCCTCGGACGCGCTCGCCGGCTCGGGCACCTCGAGCGACGGGGCGTAGAGCGGGTCGCGCAACAGGAAGAGGCGGACCTGCGAGGGGGCAGGTCACTGGCGGTCCGTCCCCAACCCTTCAGGACCTTCAGGAGAGCGGCTCGCGCGGCAGGAGCAGCCGCACCGAGTCACGCAGCGACTCGCTCGCGGACAGCCGCTCCTGCAGCAGCGAGTCAGGTGAGGGCAGTCAGGTGAGGGGCTACCGAAGGAGGACGGCTGAGCTCGCACGACAGCCGCTCCTGCAGCAGCGCCGCCGCGTCGGGCGGCGCCTTGCGCAGCGATCCCGAGAAGAAGACGCCGCACGGGGTGACGGCGGCGGAGGAGGGGAGGAAGGAGTCGATCCCGAAGACCTGATGATTCGTCAATAAAGGAACTCATTCCTTGCTGATTGGGGGGAGGGGGGGGCAGGTGAAGGCCGACAACCTCCGACTGCAGCGCCGCAAGCTGCGCCTCACTCACGGCGCCATCCTCGAGCGGGAAGCGGTCGGGGGGAAGGCCGAGGTCGCCCCAGGCAGCACGGTACCTGGCCTGCGCCTCGCTCTCCTACGGGAGACTGAGGAGACGCTTCAGAGAAGGCTCCTGGCGGCGCGGCGCCTCGCCTGCGCCTCGCTCTCCTCGCCCTCCTCGCCCGCCTCCTTGAGCGCCTCCTGCAGCCGCGCCACCGCCGCCTCGAGCCCCTCGTCGAACGCGCGGCCCTCCATCCCCTCAGAGCCGTCTCTCTCGGCCTCCCTGCCCGCCTCCCTGCCCGCCTCTCTCCCGCCCGCCTGATCCGCAGACACGTCGAGCCGCTCGCCCAAACCGCCGCCCGGCGGGGAAGTGGCTGCCGGCGGCGCCCCACTCGCTGCTGGAGACGCCGGCGGCCGCCACTCGCCTCGGCTCAGCCGGCGCTGCTCTGTCTCGAGCCGCAGCGCGGCCGCCTCGAGGGCGTGCCTCTCTGCCTCCAGCTCCAGCAGCTCAGCTCGCTGCCGCAGCGCCTCGGCGGTCGGCGGAGACGGCGGCGGCGGCGGCGGTGGCTGCGGCGGCGGTAGCAGCAGCGGCTGCGGCGGGGCAGCGGCGGGCAGCGGAGTGCCGGCCGAGTTGGCCGGCGACGCTGCTTTGTCCGCTCCTCTCCGCCAAAAGCGGGGGAGCCTCAGCGCAGCTGCGGCGCTCGCCGCTGGCAGGGACGACGAGAGTAGGGCGGCGAGGAGCAGCGCCGCGGCGCGGCGCCGCGAGATTGCGAACTCTGCAACCATTGACAGCGAGAAAAACAATCAGTGCCACGTCCGAGCGGGGCGGGGTCTCTTTCCCGTTATTTTTGGGAAAAAGAAAATAAGTTTGCGCCGCGCATGTCGCGCTCGATGTCGGTCTGCTCCGGGGACTGCTCAATGTCGCGCTCGCCCCGCGCACGCACCGAGGACGACGCCCCGCCCACGGACTGGCTGGGCGAGCTGCCGCCGGAGCTGCACCTTCGCATCCTCGAGGGCGTCGACGACTTCTCCGACTGCGCCGCCTTCAGCCTCGCGTCGCCACGCCTCGGCCTCCTCGCCCTGCGCAGCGGCCTGGCGCGCTTCAAGGACCCTCTCTTCGCCGTGGCGATGCGGCTGCTGCTCATCCAACGCTTTGCCGGTGCCTTCGTCACGGTGTCGGCAACGCTGAACGAGGGCACCCTTCGCGCCTACACCGCCGACCGCCGCGCCAGCGCCGACCACTTCCCGTGGCTTGCGAGGGTGAGCCCGGCGCTCTGCCTCTCGTCGGAAGTGACGGGTGCTGGCGCGAGTCGCGCCAAATACTGGAGACTGCGGCGCGGCGACGCGAATGGCGCGAATCTGCGGCGACGCCTCTTGCAGTCCGGCCAGGTGCAGCACTACGAGGGCGAGAAAGGCGCGGAGCGGAAGGTGCGCATGGAGACTGCCAACGGCAACGTGCTGCACTACGAGGGCGAGCGGGGTGCGGAGCGGCTGGTGCGCACGGTGTTTACCAGCGGCAACGTGCATTACTACGAGGGCGAGAAAGGCGCGGAGCGGAAGGTGCGCGCGGTGTTTACCAACGGCCAGGTGCAGCACTACGAGGGCGAGCGAGGCGCGGAGCGGCTGGTGCGCACGGAGTTCGCCGACGGCGAGGTGCAGTACTACGAGGGCGAGAAAGGCGCGGAGCGGAAGGTGCGCGCGGTGTTTACCAACGGCCAGGTGCAGGACTACGAGGGCGAGAAAGGTGCGGAGCGGCTGGTGGGCACGGAGTTCGCCGACGGCGAGGTGCAGTACTACGAGGGCGAGAAAGGTGCGGAGCGGTGTGTGCGCGTAGTGCCAGGCGCGAGCGAGGACAAGGCGGCCGCGGAGAAGCGGTACCAGGCCATGCGAGTCGCAGAGCTGAGGAGCGAGTGCGAGCGCCTCGGCTTGGCCACCACCGGCGTCAAAGCAGCGCTCGTGGCGCGCCTCCTGGCGGCCTGAGCCTGTATTCACCTGTACCTGTTGAACTCGCGCGCGCGCACACCCCCGCCGTACATGGGTAAAGCCGTACGCTCGTGAATGAAATCGCTCCAGCGCAAAAGCCGCAGCCTCGACTGTACCATGACTCATTTTTACATGTACATGTACGTCACCGTAAAAGTGTTAGACACACGAAAGGGGAGTTTTCTGTCCCTCTAGTAGTGGCTCTAGCCTTTTCGCAACCCGCCGGGCGTGGGCGCCCCGGCTCCACGGTGCCCTGGCGAGAGTGAGCCTAACCAAACCGCCGGAGCCGCGCTGCGCGGACCTCTTCGGCAGAAGGCGGCGGGGGCGGCGCCAAAGCCTCCCCCGCTGGCTCCTCCGGCTCGTCCCCCTCCGTCGCCCCGCCGTCGTCGTCGGAGAGCTCGATCGGCGCCTCCTCGCAGCCAAGCCCGCCCGCCGCCACCGTGCCTGCCTGCCGGCTGAGCGCAAGGGCGCGCTGAAACGCCCCCTCCTCCTCCCCCCTCCCAGCCGCGCCCCCCGCAACATCGGTCCCCGCCCGCTCGACGTCGGCGAGACTCGCGGCGATCGCGGCAGCGAGGTCGGGGTCGGCGCCGGCAGCGTCCGGCCGGGCGAGATCGTGCAGAGCCGCGCCCTCGCTCGGCGCCGGCTGCAAGCTTGCGGCGATCGCGGCAGCGAGGTCGGGGTCGTCTTGAGAGCTCGGCGGCGCCGCCCAAGGCTGAGGCTGCAGGCGGCGCGAGGCGGCAAGAGCGGCCTCGTAGTCGCCCGCCTGCCGCGCCTGGAGGGACGTGCCGCGGACGTGTCACGGACGCGTCCTCCACATACATGTCCCGTAGTCGCCCGCCTGCCGCGCCTCGTGCTCCCGCGCCGAAGCCTCGAGCACCGCCGCCAATGCCTCCTCCTCGCCGCCGCCGCCGCCGCCGCCGCCGCCGCCGCCGCCGCCGCCGCTGGAGGCCGCCCCTCCGCCGCCCTCCCGCTTGGCGCGCAGAAAGACCTCGATGGCGAGCCACTCCTGACTCGTCAGAATGATGCGGCTCAGTGCTCACTCGTACAAGAAGGCACCGCGAGAGCGATCCGCTCCTCGGGCGCAAAGGGCGCGGCGGCGAAGACGCCCTCTGACGACGCGCCGCGCGCCCACGGTGAGGCGCCGCCGCCGGCCCCGCCGCCGCCGCCGCCGCCGCCGCCGCCGCCGCCGCCGCCTGCGTGGCTCAGCCACCGGTGCATCGCCGTGGCGGAGCTGGCGGCGGCGGCCTCTCGCTTAGACGCGGCCGACGGGCCGGCGGCGGTTGCCCCGTGGTCGTGGTCGTCGGCGATCTCGACGTCGATGGCGCCGAGCTCCTCCTGCACGCCCGACGCGGCCACCACCATGAACAGACGGCGCGACCGCGGCGCAACCTTGCCGAACGCGCGGTACGCCTGCCACTTCGCGGGCCAGCGCGGCCCACGCTCGCCGTTCGCCGGCGGCGGCGGCACGCCGCGCGCCGCCCGCTCGGCCTTGGCCCTCTCCTCCTCGTCGGCGCGCCGCCGGTAGTAGGCGTCGGCGAGCTCCTACGGGACATGTCCAGGACATGTCCGTGGCGCGTCGACGACACGCCCCCTCGGGCGGCAGCAGGCGTCGGCGCGCTCCTTCTGGTTGGTGAGCAGCCCGTCGGCCGAGCGGGCGCTGCACGACTTGACGTACGCCGTCGCCCGCAGAGCGAGGTGCTCCTCGTCCGGCCGCCCCCAGTTGTAGGCGGCGATGAGGGTGATCTCGGAGCCGCGCACGGTGAGCACGGCGGCGGTCGGCGAGAGGCGGATGACGCGCCTGAGTAGTGAAGCGAGGAAGGAGGTAGCTCTTCATGAGGGAGCAGCTTCGGCGAGAGGGGTCTGTCGCGCGCCGGCTAATGCGCGCGTCGGCGCCTTCCGCGAAGAGGAGGGGTGCGTGCTCGGGCTGCAGCATCAGCCTCTCGAGCTCGGGGGCGCGGGCGAGCCCTCGCGGCAGTGAGGCGGCCGCGGGAGAGACACGCGAGGCGAGCGCGAGGTGGAGGGCCTGCGACAGTGAGGCGAGGGGTGAGGGGACAGCGAGGCGGGGTGAGGGCCTGCAAGGTGTGTGTGGGTGGCGGGGGTATGTGGGTTACGAGGGGAGGGCGAGCTCGCACAGCCATTCATTCCCATTCACTCCTCCTCTGGTTGGCTAAGCTGAACGGGCTCCTGCAGCGCGAGCTCGCTGCTCCTCTCGACCGCCAGGAAGCTCGCCGCCTCCGCAGGAGGGTAGCTCGACACCTAACCACCTCGGGGGACCTCGGGTAACCTCGGGTAACCTCGGGTCCTCTCGGGTGACCTCTGGTGACCTCGGGTGACCTCGGGTCCTCGGCTCCTCTCGGCTCCTCTCGGCTCCTCTCGGCTCCTCTCGGGTCCCCTCGGGTCCTCTCGGGTCCTCTCGGGTACTCTCGGGTGGGCAGCTCGACGCCTTGGAGACGCGCAACGGCTCGGACGACCAGAGGCGGAGCGAGAAGGGCTGGCGGGCGGTCGACTCGGCCGCGGTCGGGTTGTTGCCCAAGCAGAGCGGAACGACCACATACGACGCCGACGGGTCGTCCAGCCGCGCCACCCAGGTCCGCTCGCCGCGGTCGGCGCCTAGCCAGCGAAGCACGAGCTCAAGCAGCGAGTCCTTGCCTGCGTCCGCTCGCCGCGGGTCGGCGCCGCGCAGGCCCCCGCCGACGAGCGAGGCGATGGCGGAGCCGTCGTCGGTGAGGCGGCCTGAGGGACATGTGCCGGACATGTCACGGGCGTGCCTTGGACAGGCCCGAGCCGCCGTCGGCGGGGCGGCCGATCAGCAGCGAGACGTCGCCGAGCCGGTAGGACTTCTTGCGGTCCGCGCGGCACCAGGCCCCTCGCTTGGTCGGCTGGAGGGCCATCACCATCAGCGTCGCCGCCCGCTCGGCCGGCCGCACGGTGAGCACGCTCGCGCAGACGCGCCTCGCCGTCTTTCGCTCCGCCGGGAAGTGGTTTGGGAAGGAGGAGGCGTGCCTATAGCCGATGGTTGGTCGATGAGCCACACTGCCAGTCAAGCAGTGGTTGGGGGGAGGAGGAGGCGCGCCAGCCGCGGAAGGCGTAGCAGACGTCGACGTGGCTAAACCCCATCATAAATTTGGTGTAATCGATCCAGAAGGTGCCTAGCTCATTCACCAAGGCGCCATGAGGCGGAAGCCCTCTTGGGCTTTGGCCTAGCCGACCCAGATCGTGCCGTCGTCCACTCCCGTGCGGTCGAACCCGTCGCCTCCTCCGCCGCCTCGCGCAGCCTGGTCGGTCGGCAGCCGGTGGTGGCGGTACTCTGCGCGGTGCTGCGAGCTGCGCCGGTAGCAGGCGGCGCCGTAGGGGCACAGAGGCAGAGCGGCGGCGCCGGAGGGGGACGAGGCGCCGCCTCCGCCCTCGACGCCTCCGACGAGCTCGGCCCACTTGTCGGACGCGTCGCTCCAGTCGCCGTTCCACTCTGTGCAGCCGTGCGGGTTGCGCACGCGCAGCAGGCGGACCACCTCGCCTACGTCAGGACGAGATGTGGGGGAGATGTGGGGGAGATGTGGGGGAGATGTGGGGGAGATGTGGGGGACCACCCCGCCTAAAGTCTTAACGAGCGACTCGTGGCCAGCGAGTCCTCAGCGCAGCAGCAAGCGCGGCCACCTCGCCCGCGCGGGTGGCCGCCTCCCTCACGTCGAGGATCGAGTAGGCGTGCCCGCCGACGAGGCCGACCTGCCTCAGGTTGCTCCCCTCGGCGTTGTTCGTGCCGCACCCCATTGGCAGCTCGAGCGCCGCGTAAGCCTTGAGTCGAGCCCACGTCGCCTGCCGCCGAGAGGGCCGGTCGGGCTGGGACGCGCGAGGCGGCTTGGGCACCCGTGGGTCGGCTGGAGGTTGTCCCAGCACGTCGTGGCGCGGTGTGGCGGTGGAGCTGGCACCTCCGAGTCGAAGCGGGCGTCGCCGAGGTACTGCATCTCGGTGGGCGCGCCTGTGCTCGTCGGTGACCTCACTCATGGCTCACTCACGCGCGGAGTAGCCGAGGTGCTGCATCTCGGTGGGAGCACCGGTCAGGTCGAGAAGGGCCTCGGCCACCCAGCCGCCGGAGATGGACTGGTACGAGCCGTGCGCCTTGGCGTACGCCTGCCCGGAGACATGGGAGAGATGTGGGGGAGAGATGGGGTAGATGTGGGGGAGGTGTGGGGGAGAGATGGGGTAGATGTGGGGGAGGTGTGGGGGAGATGTGGGGGAGGTATGGGGGAGATATGAGGGAGATGTGGGGGAGATATGGGGGAGGATATGGGGGAGATAGCTGCTATGCGACTTCCGCCTGCCCGACCAGCGGCGCCCATCAACAGTCACTAGTCATCAACAGTCACTAGTCATCAACAGTCACTAGTCATCCCTCCTCTCACTCCCACGTCGTGATGACTCCTCGTCGGCGCGCGCCTTCTCGACCAGCGACGCCCACAGCTGCTGCTCGCCGCTCGCGGAGCCGCAGCGGCAAAAGGCGAGCTTTGTGTCGAAGGCGAGGTGGTCTCGCCGCGGCGCCGCCGTCACCGGCAGCTGGTCGTCGATCCAGACTGACGTCCACGCGCCGTCGAGGAAGAGGCGCAGGCAGTGGCAGCCGGCCGCGTTGCGCGCCTGAGCATTGAGCCGGCCGTCTCTTCAGTGTTTCTCCCCCATTGCGCAGGCAGCGAGGCAGCCGGCCGCGTTGCGCGCCGTGTCGGCGGAGAAGATGCGGGCGATCAAGTCGTGCCGCTGGGCAACCACGGCGAGCGCGCTCATGAACCAGCAGTCGCCGACGCCGCCCTGCCGCAGGTCCTCGGCGCGGAAGCCTAACGAGCCATTCATTGAGTGCTCCGCTGAGGAGTCATCCTCCGCCCTGCCGTCGGCGCGGGCGCCGGAGTCGCAGACTACGTGCAGCGCGAGCGGCAGCCGCGCCCAGCTCAGCTTGGCAGCGCTGCCGCCGCGCCGGAAGGTCACCTCTCCGCCGTCGGCCCACGCAAAGAAGCCGCACTCGCGGGTCGGGCAGTGAAAGTACCGCCGCCCCTTGTTTGGCGTATCCTTGCCCACGGTCGCGGGCGTCGCCTGCACGCCGCAGCGGCACTTGGGGGCCTCGCCAGCCGCCACGGCCGGTGGCGGCGCCGGCCGCGCCTCCTCGTCCGGCTCGTCCTTTCCCCGGATCGACAGCTGCGTCGCCGGGAAGTCGCTGTCCACAAACTGCGTGCCTGCCTGCAGGTGGCGGTCCACCGCGGCACGCCACGCGGCCGCCTCGGCCGCGGGCAGCGCCGAGTCGTCGCCGTGCAGGAAGAGCTCGCGGTCCGAGGAGGCGGGGCGCGGCCGCTTGGAGGGCGGCGCGAGCAGTGGCGGCCGCGAGGAGGTGGAGGCGGAGGAGGCGGATGCGGCGGCGGCGGAGGAGGAGGAGGCGGCGGCGGAGGAGGGGGAGGCGGAGGTGGCGGAGGAGGAGGCGGAGGTGGAGGCGGAGGTGGAGGCGGAGGTGGAGGCGGAGGTGGAGGTGGAGGTGGCGTTGGCGGCAGACCCGGTCTCAGGGCGCGGCGGCAGCGGCTGGCAAAGCGGCCGGCAAAGCGGCTGGCAAGGCGGCGGCGGCGATGATGCATCGAGATCAATTACAGGGGCGTCGGCAGAGCTGCGCACAGGATGGCTGCCAGCACCGCCATCTTCTCCACGGACGCCGCCACTGTCGACGAGAGGCACGGTTCCGGAGAGGAGGTCGGCGAGCGAGACCTTGGGCAGGTCGGCCATTCGGCGGGAGAGCCTTGGGAGTGGGACTGGGCTATAGCGGCGCGGGGGGACCCCACCGGCGGGGACTTTCTGCTGTGGGAACAGCTGACGCAGTCTCGCCTTCCCCGGTCCTCACTGGCTTGCCGGGGTCATGGCCCCCCCCCCTCTAGCGCCGCCGGAGGCGGCGTAGCTTCCGAGAAGCTCGGTCAGACACACGGGGGAGAGACGGACACCACATCATTACGAATGACGCAAAAATACGTCACGGAGAGCGAGTAGAATGGCTAATTTCGCCGAGAGCGCGCCGCGGGCGCACCTGGTATACGGCCCCGGAATGAGTCACTGATTAAAGTTGGGCGCCTTTGGTCGAGGCTTCCCCGGTCCTCACTGGCTTGCCGGGGTCATGGCCCCCCCCCCTCTAGCGCCGCCGGAGGCGGCGTAGCTTCCGAGAAGCTCGGTCAGACACACGGGGGAGAGACGGACACCACATCATTACGAATGACGCAAAAATACGTCATTTAATAGATGGTGTTTACTAAGGCCCGTTGTACACTGTGTTGAGTGAGTGTGAGTGTGTATGTTGAGCTTGTTCGTTGCTAGATTTGTTTCTCGGAAGGCTGCCACGAAGCCCTCTAACATGGAGTGCGAGGTACTCGTCTGTCGCCGTCCCAAACTGTCACTCCCCTTTCTCCCGGCCGGGGCGCGCGCGGGGGGGCGGCGGGTGTGCGGGATGTCTGTGGGCCCGAGAGCGATGCGTGACCGCCTTGCTTAACACAAAAAAAAGCAAAAATCCCGAACGTCGAAAGGAAGTCACCCTTCCACTATCACTGCCGCCCCACCACATCCAGAATGAGCGCGCCCACCACCAGCAGAATCGAGCGGGACGACGAGCCGCCTCGCCCCAGTCTGGGCATCGCCCTCAACGGCGGAGGCGCCAGGGCGCACGCGGGTTCTTGGGGCTTCATGCGTGCAATGCACCATCTCGGCCTCCTTTCGGAGGCGACTCATATCTCTGGCGTGAGCGGCTCGGGCTGGACGGTGGCGCACCTCGCCTACTCCTCCGACCCGCTCGACGAGGTGCTCACAATCTCGCGCCTCCCGACGCCAGCCAGTGCGCTGCCCGACTACAGCAGCAAGGAGGGGCGGGCAGAGCTCGAGATTATGCCGTGGGGCCGCCTCGGCGCGTCGACGTGGATATCCATCGGGGACTACACCAAGCTGCGCTCCTGGACGCTGAGTGCCTCGTTCGCGTGGACCTGCTGCTGCGACCCGCATGAGTTTTGGCTCTGGATGATCGACCAGATCTACCTCAAGCCGAACGGCGTCGACGGCCGGCTCATCACCGCCTCGTCCGAGGCGTGCCGAGACAGCACACTGGAATAGCAGCACGCAGTCGCGCCGCACAGATGGGTCCTCGTCCTCCCGCCCCTCCACCTCTCCGCTCTCCCCTCCCGCCCCTCAGGCGGCCGTCGAGAAGGCCATCGCCGCCGCGCCGCGCCTGCGCCGCTCCGACTTCATCGTGCAGCGGCCCGACGTGCGCGCGCAGCCCATCATCTCGTTCGCCCTCGCCGGCCCGTCGGCGCCGCGCAACTTCACGCACGCGCGCCGGGTGCAGCGGGCGCACTGGCAGGCGACGGGCGACGACGACGCGGCGGAGGAGTACGGGGACGCGCACGCGGCTCGGGCGGCGCACGGGGGCGCGAGCTTCGTCACCTTCGAGGCGACGCCGGACGAGGTGTCGACAGGGTACAAGGGGCCGCCCATGCAGACCGACATCTCCTGCTGCTGCCTGCCCTGCGTCGCCCTCCCGGCGCCTAGCCTCGCCGTGCAGCCCGGCACGGTGCCGATGACGCGCTTCCTGCAGCCCGCCTCCTTCCAGTGCTGCGGCTTCCCCTCCGCCGCGCCGCCTTGCCTCTACCCGTGGAGCCTGCCCTGCTTCTGCGGACGGCCAAACACGTACTGCGGTCCGCCCGCCTTCACGCTGCGAGACGTTGTCGGCACCACCTCCTCCGCGCTCGGCGACTTTGTGCGAGGCGGGGTCGGGCGGGACGGATGCCTGAACGACTGCCTGCTGGACCGGGCGACGGACTGGGCGGCGCAGAACTGGGCGCTGCAGCGGTACCGCGTCTCGCCCTCCTTCGACGGCCGGCGGGCGCAGGACCTGCTCTTTGTGGACGGCGGAATGCACGACTGCTCCGCGCTGCCCGCGCTGCTGCGCCGAAAGTGTACCCGCGTCGTCCAGTTCTTCTCTGGCCCGCAGCCGTACGCGACGCTCGCCGAGTCGGGCGGTGCGCTGCGGACGCCTGTCGGCGGCTTGGAGGCCCGGTACACCAACTCGCTGATGGTGGGTCGATGCATGGTCAGGCGCGCTGTGGAAGCCCGTCGACTCGCACATCTCCTCCTTGTTTGGCATCCGCAAGGACGAGCGGCGGATGGGCGGCTACGCCTACTCGCAGAACAAGCTCTTCGAGGCGCGAGATGCAACCGGGATGCAGCCGAGATGCATCCGAGATGCAGCTGAGATGCAGCCGGGATAAGCCGAGATGTAGCCGAGATGCAGCCGAGATGCAGCCGGGATAAGCCGAGATGTAGCTCTTCGAGGCGCCCGCCGTCCGCGAGGAGAGAGCGGCGGGCGCCCCTTCCGCGAGCGCGTCTCTCGGGCCGTAGGTGTCCGCTTTCCGCGAGATGTAAATAAATAAATAAATAAATAAATAAGTAGGTGTCCGCCTTCCGCGAGATGTAATTAATATATAATATTAGGTGTCCGCTTTCCGCGAGATGGTCGCGCAGTTCGACAGCTGCCGCGCCGCCGGCCGGCCTCTCATCGCCGAGCTGCGCGGGATCAAGGCGCCTTCGAGACCGACCCTCCGCCGCCGAGCCAGCCCCCGGCGGTGACGGGCTGGTCAGCAACCCCCTAGGTGCTCGAAAACGACTTTTACGGCGTCGAGGCGTACGGGCCGATCGACTTGGTCGTGCACTACATGGACGCGCCGAAGCGCTTCACCGAGACGGTGCCCGCGTGCTCGTCACACCTCTGCGTGTGTGATGGGCGCCTCTCACGCTCCCAGCCGTGAATAGGTGCCCGACGACGTGCTCGCGCTGGGGGGCGAGACATTCCCGATGCTCGCGTCGGGAGGCGGCTACACGTGCGCCCAGGCCAACCTGGTCGCAGACATGGTGGCGTGGTCTGTCCTCTCCGAGGCGGACAAGTTCCGGTTTGACGAGACGCGCACCTAGGCACGCCGGCGGGCTCCGGGGATTGTAGATCTTCGCCAACGTCTACGGGATAGCTAGCTGATCTGCGAGCCTAGGACTTAGAGCCACGTACTACGTCTACAGTGGGTTGCGGGTATTAAGAAACCCGCTTACCATTAAGAAACCACGCCGAGCGATTGCGCTCGAGCCCAGGTGCCAGGCCCCAGGCGTGGAGGCACACAGCGCGCGCTCGCCCGCTCAGCCACACACGAGAACGCGCGAAACCGCTCAATGCGCGCCTCTGCCACTCTCGAATCCGCCCGCGCAGCGCGTGGTTTGGGAAGGTGTGCGTGTGCTGGAGCGCCTCGCCCGTCATCGGGGGCTCGTCGACTTGGTCGCGAGCCAGCGCTCGATCTGCTTCCGCTCGTAGGAATGGCCGTCCGCCGCCATCACCGGGTCGCTCATCACCTCGGTCGTGATGGGGCAGATGAAGTCGGCCGGCGGCGCATCCGGCTCGGGCGGCTGCTCCTCCGCCACCCGCCTCTCCTCCTCCAGCCTCGCGCTCTCCTGAAGCGCCGTCGCCAGCTCCGCCTCCTCTGCTGCCGCCACCGCCTCCCCCTCCGCCGCCGCAAGCGCCTCCGCCTCCTCGCCTTCCGGCTCCTGCGACGGCCCGCCGCCGCTCCCCCCGCCCTTGCCCTTCTTCTTCTTCTTCTTCTTTTTGGCCTTGCGCTCCTTGGCGCGCTGCTCCGCCTCCTTCTCCGCCTCCTCATCCGCCAGAAGCGCTTCCGCGTGCCGATCCGCCTCCGCAGCCGCCTCCGCCATCTCGGCCTCTCTTCTACGGATGATGCCGGCGCTGGGGTCCCCTTCGGATGCATCGTGACATCTGACAACTGAATTTCCACTGGTTCGTCCTCCTCTGAGTCATCTTCCCCGTCCTCCTTCCGCTCGGCTCTTCGCTCGGTACGTTCGGTGTGGCTCACCCTCCATGCCGTGAACAGGCGTTTTATCCACCCTATATTCTTCTCTCGTTCCTCTGCCCGTGCCTTGGTCTTGTCGTTGTTTCGCACCCATGTCTGTATGGCAATCGAGGCTGCCTTCCCCACTACCTGTAGTTCACTCGTCACCTCTCCCGCGAGGTCCCTTCTCTTTCTTTCGGGTATGGAGTCCGTGAGTGCGGGTAGCGTGCAGGCAATCACGGGTGCTATTTTGTCGTACTCCTCTTCGGCGAGCGCCCCAAATCTAGACCCTTTCGCCTTTAAGGAGGCTTCCCTCGCTCGTCTCAGGAATGTGGCGGTGTCTATCGTGTTGTGCGAGGGAGTTTGGTCGTAAAATTCTTTATCGGTCGGCTCTGGCAGTCGGTGCTCTCGCCGCCTCATGTGCTCGCTCGTGACCCTGGCCGTCGCAGCAGTGGCACTGCGCGCCGGGCCAATACCTGCTCTTCCGCGGCCCGTAACTTTGGCGGCCGATGCGCGTGTCAAGCATGTCGCTGCGGTCGCTCTACACCCGCTGCAGCCAGTGGTGGCCCGGCCATCTGGCCTGTCCGGCCTGCGCTGTGGCCGCTGTGGCCGTCCCGTGCTGTCAGCGGCGCCCGCAAAGAAGGTCAAGACACCATGGAAGACCCTCCTCTCCCTGTGCAAGCCCGACGCCGCTCCGCTCGTGACGGCGTTCGTGTGCCTCGCCGTCGCCGCGTCGGGCGACGCTTTGCTGCCTGCCCTGCAGGGCGCAGCGCTCAACGCGGCGCTTGGGCTCGGCACGGACGCCGCGGGCTCTCTCGCTCAGCTGCGGCCCGCCCTCGTCCGCCTCGCCGCGGTCGGGCTTGGCACAGCCGTGTTCACCGGCATCCGCGGCTTTTGCTTCTGGGTGTGCGGCGCGCGGCTGGTGGCGCGGCTGCGTGCGACGCTCTTCGACGCGCTGCTCGCTCAGCCGCAGGCCTTGCACGACAAGCATAGCCGCTGTTGATCCATGTCTCGACTCTTGCTCTCATCGCCACCCTCGTTGCCCAGGCGTTCCACGACGAGCAAGGCCCTGGCGACCTGTCGACGCGCCTCGCCACTGACTGCGTCAAGCTGGGAGACGTGCTCTCGCTCAACGTCAACATCGTGCTGCGGCAGGTGCAGCTCTCCCTCCCCTCACAGTCGCAGTGGTGTGTGCTGACCTCATGCTGACCTCATGCCGGCCTCGCTGTTCATGCTGGCTGTTCATGCTGACCACGTTGGCCTCTTCATTCGTCGAGTGTGTCGGGACCTCACTCGGCGCAGGTGCTGCAGTCCCTCGCGGGCATGGCGGTCGTGCTGCGGCTGAGCGGCCGCCTGGCGCTGCTCGTCGTCGCGGGCGTGCTGCTGCGGTCTCTCTTCGCACACTTCTACTCGATGGCAGCTCGCCGACTCTCCCAGGCGCACCTCCTCTCTCCTCCTCCCCTCCTCCTCTCCTCTCTCCTCTCCCCCCCCCACCTCAACCTCCTCGCCCTACTCCCCCCCCAGGCGCAGCAGGACCGGCTCGCAGCTTCGTCTGGCGTGGCGGAGCAGTGTTTCTCGCTCATCAAGCTCGTCCGGTACACTCCCTGCAGACCACTCAGACGGTCTCCTAGTCCTCTCCCAGCGCTTCTCCTCCATCAAGCGCGCCCGGTCATACCTCGAGATGAATATAGAAGAGAAGCTTCTCACGCAAGGCTCTCTGGCGCCACTTTCCATGAACCTTCTCGGAACCGTCTCCCAGGTCGCACGGCAGCCAGCGGAGCGAGCGGCGGCGGTGCGGGCAGCAGCAGGAAGGCTTGCCTCCCCTCGCGTTTATCTCTCCACGGCTGCGTGTGTGCATACGCATAGGTACGGGCAGCAGCTGGACGGCTTGCTGCGGCTGCAGACCGAGTACGGCGCCATCTACGGCTGCTCGCGTGTCTTCAACGGCGAACCACAACGCCGCGCTCGTCGTGGGCAGGATGGCCGTGACAGGTCTCGGACATATCCCGCAGGCGCCGTCAACGCCGCCCTCAACGTGGCCGTTCTCGCTGGCGGCGCCGCGCTTGTGGCGGCGGGCGTGCTGCCCCGCGAGGCGCTCTCCTACCCTCGCCTCCCTCTCTTCCTCTCCTCTCTTCGCTTCCTCTCTTCCGTCTCGCCTCTTCCTCTCCCCTCGCCCCTGCCCACCCTCCTCCTCCCGCGCCGCCGCCGCGAGGCGCTCACCTCCTTCGTCCTCTACGTCGCCTTCATCTCGGACGCGTCGAGCGACGTGCCCGGCCAGCGAGCCTCCCCCGCCCGCCAGCCGACATGTCCACGACACGTCCGCGAGCTCGCCCGCACACAGGTGCTCGACCAGTGGAGCCGCATCCAGGAGGCGCTCGGCGCGGCGACGGAGGCGCACGACACCTCACGCACGCACACGCACACGCCCGCGCACGCGCACTCGCCGCACGCGCACACACCGCACGCGCACGCGCACCACACACACACACACACACACACACACACACACACACACACACACACACACACACACACACACTTCTCCAC